AATTATTAGCGAGAAGGCTCGGAAAAAAAGCCGTGCGACCGCGGCTTGCAGGCCTGGGAAGGACAACAAGCGACGTTCGGACAACTGCGCATTCGCACTTCAGTGTTGACTGCTGCGCGGCGTGAAAACTTAGAGTTTTTTAGCAATGCATCTCGAGAGTCAAAAATCTCTCAATATCCTACTAGAAAAAGCGTGTGTAAATAATCACAATCAATTCCCTCGATATTGATTGTTGCCATTTTGATCTCAACGCTAATTGGACGTTTCTAGTTACGCGAAATTCATGCGATTGAGAAGTGAGATTTTCATGAAGCAATATCTCAAGAACAACTGAATCGATCACTTTCGTTTTTTTAGTCTCAATCGCTTCAGAACAAAACATTAAAAAACAAAAATATTCTTGCGTTTTTTAAAGTCACGTAACAAGGAGAAGAGAAAAAACATCACGTGACTAAAGTAACGTGACTAAATATGTATATAATATATAATATAATATATACAATGTATAATATACTATATATACTACTATTATATATTATATATATACTTTATTATATATCTATAACATTATACCTTATATTGTATTACATGTATTATATATATACTACGGTAAGATCACTGGCCTTAGTCACGTGACTACACTGAGGTCACTGACCCCGGTCACGCGACCGCGCAGAGGTCACTGACCCCGGTCACGCGACCGCGCAGAGGTCACTGACCTCGGTCACGCGACCGCGCAGAGGTCACTGACCCCGGTCACGTGACTACGCAGAGAGTACTGATCTCGATCACGTGATTACGATATATATATATATATATATATATATATATATGTATATACTATTATGCATACATATATTATATATAATAAATGTAATGTTCTCTTTTTTACTCTGTTTACTGTCACGAGATCTTACTTTAGTCACGTGTTGTTTTTCCACTTCACCCTCTTTCTATTTTTCGAGTTTAAATTTCACGCGTTATTTCTGACATTTCTCATATGTACATCATGTAATATATGCTTTGTAAGACATATACTATCTGTTATTGCGGTGACAGGTTGTTTACTGGCACAACACGTTAAAATAAAAACAATAACAGCGTGCACGTAGCGCGGGCTTATGTTGTGCTAGTACTTGAGAATTTATGAATATACGCTTTTTAATCGAAAATAGAAAAGCGAGACACAAAAGATATATATAAAAAACAAAAAAAACTACAATTGAAACCAAAAGACTAACGATTTACTCGCACAAATGCATGTCTGCAGAAAGGAAGAAGCGTCAGTCGAGTAATTGCTTTTAGCCGATATCGTGCGAAAAAGGAGGAGGGATAGAGAAAGAGAGACGATTATTTAATTCTCGAACTGGAATCGTGTAGATCGCGAGTGAGATTTTGGCTTTTGTTTGAGAGCGAGGCTGGCGATTTCGCGCCGCCAGCTGCTTTTGTTATCAGCATTCGCATACACGGGACACAGTCGGAAATCGAGAACTGTCGGATATATCGCGCACAGTGTGGCACCAAATTGAACGACTTTTTTTCCAGTCTACGCATTTTTTAAAACTAAAATCTTGTTAAATAAACATCGACTCTCTTTAGTCTCTTGTTTACCAGAAATAACGAAGGCAACAGAAAGATCTCCAGTAAAACATTAAACATTTTTGTTAAAAAAAAAAAAAAAAAAAAAAAACAAAAGACAAAAATACGACCTGTTTCAAATTTATCGAAAGTTCTTGGACACCGTGTGTGTCGATACTGAGCGCCGTTTTACGGTTCACCGTAATATAGTTGTCGAGAACTCGATTTGCACTATTGATGCTGCTTCGTGCATTATACTCTGATTATCGCTTGTAGCGGCGCGAATTGCTATTACACACGTGCGCGAGGGACTTTTACCGCCCGGTGGATTTATTGTCGCTTTTATCGCGCGCAATAAAAGAGATAACACGCAAATTCCCCTCCAAGTTCTATTACACTTAAGAAAGCACGTATAAATATATCGTATACACTGACAAAAGCGGCACTGCACTTGGAAGCCTCCCCGATAATCCTCCTCGGTTTCGAGACCGCGCGATAGACCGCGGTAACGATTTATCGTGCATTTGCATTTCGCTGATAGGCCGTCGCGGTTTATTTGCGACGCTACGTACACGTCCAGGAAGCGCGCGCAATACTTCCGCGTTCACTCAATCAGAAAATTGCGTATTGGAAAAAACATACCGAATAAATTATATAAAATTACAAAACGTCGCATTTTATTTTTATCGCGGACTTTATCTGCAAAATAATATTTTGTTGTAAATTTATTATTATAATAAGTTACGATTATTTATTATTTATTTAAAGTTAGTTTTTATATAATTGCGCGCATTAACGTTCCTTCCGTTTATTTGGAAATCGCGGATTTTAAGGTTTCAGGGTTACTCCTACCTGTTCGCGAGCGGTTTCCATTCAGCTCGACACGCCGCCGTGCGAAAATGAGATCAAGATGATATTAAAACGAAAAGGAGGGGAATACACGAAAGCTAATTTGGACGAGCGAATTTTCGCGTTGCGTCACCACGGCGTCCGCGTCCGTCTATTTATACACACACCGTGGACAGGTACACACGCGAGTCGACACGCCGGCGATTTATCCGATAGCAAACATTGGCGCCGTGAATTGTCGTCGAACGCGTTACACGAATGTGTAGTACGCGCATACACGCGCGCACCCGATTGCAATTTTTTTGCAGCGAACTTTACGAGTGCTTTCGCGAGAGTTATCGATCGCTCTTAAATTAAAACAACAATATTCAATCTATTCAAACGATTGGAATAACAAACTGCTCAAACGGATAAGTACAGAAAATTTAAGAAATTAGCGGTTTACATAAAACAAAAGTTGTTCTATAGTTTTGTTTAAAGAGATTAAGATTATTAGATAATTTTTCACTCTTTTGTGATAATAAAAAAAACTGATTCATAAACAACTGTGGCGTGTCAATCAATAGATAAATTTATTTTTATTTCTTCCTTTTCCCAGAAGATTAAATGGATATCGATGAAACTTTTTTTTTTAATAAAACCATACGTAATACATGTTGCATTGTCCACACCATATACGTTGTGAGAGAAAACGCGGCACAACACACGCACATACGCACATACGCACCCTCTTTCTCCTCCTCCTCCTCCTCGTCGTCGTCGTCGTCGACGTGTCAATTTAACGGCTTCCTGCTCTGGCGTTGAGTTTCGCCGTGCACGCATGTCTATCGACCGAAATGTTCTGCGTCCTCTTTTGTATCGCATGTAGTTAAAGGAAGGAAATTCCTGTTGTACAACGCACAAGTAGCAGAGCTTAAAATAATAACAGCGGCGCGGCAAAATGAATACACGCGCGCATGTTTCAACGCGTGTTTCAAAAAAAAAAAAAGAAAAAAAAAGCGTGAGATAAAATGTGTCGCGGCAGCTTATGGACGGATATCAACGTAACGACTTGCGCGCGGAATTCTCTTTCAACAATTCGTTCGAGAAATGAAAATTAAACAACGCAGACTGAAAGCCTCCGATAAATTCTCGGCAGGAAGAAACTGGCAAACTTCAAATGCATCTCCTAAGATTGACTTTGTTTGTAAAATTGCGAACAATATAACCAATAGAACTTCGCCTTTGATCGAAGGCTTCTTCAAACTTCGACAATATACCGAGCTTGATTTTCAACTTCGCCTTTGTGTCTATTCCTTCCGGGGAATTCTTTGTTTCCGGAAGGTCTGCATAATTTATACTTTTTAATTGACGGACCGCGCTTTTAACGTGGATTTCGCCCGGGTTATATATAAAATCGATCGAACGTTAATTGAACACGAAACGTAAAAGCTACAAAGCATCTCGTCGAGAACTCTTTTTCCCGTCCGTGATACTTCAGTTCGCGTCGAGTGCTGCAACCGCCGTTGAACTTTCACATTTCGCCGAAAGCGAAAAATTGCGTACATTCCCGCCAACCAGCAATTAACTTATCGGCGAAATTAGCTGTCTCTCGGCGATGAAACACAACGCAATGAAGGAACTTATAGACGTATGGCGCCTTGCGCATATTCTCTCGGCGCTGTATTATGTTTTTTTTCTTTTATCTGGCGCGTGTTCGCTCGCACCACGACCACGACGAGCGTTATCAACGCGGGTTATCTGCTTTGCCTCTAGCATTTTTCTATGCGTCATCCACTCCCTTGCGCGCGCGCGCACACACACAGCCACTCTTCTGCTTTGCCGCCAGAAATTCTATACAACCATAACGAACGTCCGCGCCACCCTACGATGGCGTTGCACTCCCACATATAGGATTTCCCATATATATCACATGCCCTGTGTGCAACGTACATAAGAACACGATGAAATCGACTGCTTATGTTCCTCAGCTCTCTCAGCGTATTGATCAGTTATCGAACAAAAAATAATTTATATCTTATAATAATCATTCATTTCAAAGTTGCAAAAGTAAAAACATGATTTTGAAATAATCGGCTTTAATGTCTATTTCAAGTATATGTAATAATATTAAATGTATGTAATATTATATATATATATAAATGCATTTATGTTTTCAAAAGAACGCGTTTGGAGCGAATAGTTGTTTAAGGAAGTAAATTATCATTTGATAACATATTTGATAACAAGTTCTGTTGGTACAAGTTATCAAATAAATGTCAAACAGAAGTTATCGGAAATATGTAAATTGTGTGTGTGAGATTGTATATAAGTACGTCAGTATATAAATATCGGCTAGTATTTTTATCTACGTTACACATGCTGAATAATACTTTACATTCTAAAAGTTCAATTATTTTATCCTTGACTCTCTCGATTAATCATTTTAATGATCTGTTTGTTGTGGATTTACTCATTGACTTCGAACAAATTCGAACAAATTAATTTCAGGGCCGCATTCATTAAGAATCGCAGAGCTGAATGCGCGCGACAATATATACAATTTATTTGAATATATTCTTCAACAATAATACCTGGAAAAACATCCTTGGTGTCGGGAGTGTACGGATGGATCCAGCCGTTTCTTTGCTGTATGATGCACTGGAACATGATGCTGAGTTTTGTAAATTTCTATCCGATGTGTGCGTGTGAGAGAGAGAGAAAACGTTCTCGAAGAAATTCCCACAACCGCGTTGTCGAAACGAAAGTCTCTTCTTATCGCGCTAAATATCACGACAATGACAAAGTGTTGCTTATTGTTAATCTAGCACCAATAATTACGCATCACACAAATTGTGACGTCAAATGCGAGGTCTCGTCACATTATCATAATCCCTCATCGGATATATTGTATTTTCTGTTCGTTGGAGTTATACGACGCGAGTATATTCCTCGGAATGTTGCTGCGTTGTTCGAACAATCGCGCGGGAGACTATTTTCATGTCGATGTAAAAAGAAAAATTCAATGAAACAATTTTATAACTTCTTTCTTTTCGTCGTTGTTGTTAAATTTCACGTTTTGAATGTTTCGATGTCCTGTGGTCGGCGAAGATTTTCCTTCTTTCCTGGCAATATCGCATACCTAGTACACGCGCGGAGAAGGGCGGTCGCTTGAGCGCGAACCCACGTATAGGTCGTAGCTTTATGGACGTAATTCTAAGTCGTTGAACCGCACGACGACGTTCCATCGAAGGCCATCGTTGCCGCAGCCATCCTGAGGACAATCCCTATCTGCGAGATCCCGCGACGGTCTTGGCTCATCTTATTCGCGAGAATTCTCGTCTCCGCGCTTCCCGTCCCGGCCTTCGTTTCCTCCCATCGAGAATCGTCGATTTTCTTGAGATACACTTGTCCCCCTTTCCGTAGCTGATGTATTTCACTCTTCCTCCCTTCGCGCTTCCTCAATCGATTTCCAAGGATTTATTCCTCGGTCATCTAGTTCATCTATTTCGATTTTCGCGTCGACTGATCTTGAATCTCTTTTTTATCTCACTTTTTGATACACATTTCATTTCCCTTTACATTTCTCTCTTATACAACCCGCAAACTTCTCTTTCAGTCAGAAGTGTTCTCGAGAATTTTTAAGAGGATTGAACTAATTAGCGGCGAAGTGGCATATCTAGTTATGCAATTCGATGCAATATTTCGAGTTTCTCATTCCAATTGATGTTTAGCTCAGTAGAATCGTATCGTAGATCTTAATTCTAATTTGATAAATATATATAATATTTTTTATATGGTTTTTCAATAAATAAATATTATATTTATTATGTAGCAAATTAATTTCTTTTTTCCTCTTTTTTCGTCGATCGTTAAAGGAGACGCGGTTTCCTCGCTTCTTCGCGAAGAGCACTAATTGTGATTACTACGTATACAAATTTCGTTGTAACAAAAAGTGACGCAGGAGTTCCTCCCGCTTTGTTGCTAGATGGCGAAGGACAGCACCTGTGCGTGCAGTCCAGCGAAATGCGCCAGAAACAACGTCCTTGAAAAATGCACTTGCTTACGGCTCCTCTCTCTCTTTCTCTCTTTCTCTTTCTCTCTCTCTCTCTCTCTCTTTCTCTCTCTCTCTCTCTCTCTCTCTCTCTCTCTCTCTTTTCGTCTCTATATTTCTCTTCCCGTTTTTCTCCCTTGTCGAGAAAGAACCAGAGCGTAAGTACTCACTTTATTTCTCACGCTGTCAAGTCGCGGCAACAGACACCGACGGTGAAACACACTCGCGGATAAATGATTAGCCGGTTAACTCGCACGCGAGACGTCCTTCGAAAACTTCCCCGCGCCGGAAACTAGCACCAACCGAGGAGATACGCACCACCAGAGCACGTTCAGGATATATCGGTGCATGTATACGAAGAAGAAAGCCGCGAACAGAACAGCGTGTCCGGTCGCCTTCACCGCGGCGCAGATCTTCCGGACTCCCTTCCGGAGCTTCTTTCTCGCGCGACTAGGGAAACGACGACGCGCCGACAATGGTATCCCGCGATCTCGATAGCGGACGTCGCGTGGGACGTGACCAACCGAGTCAGCGGCGTCCGCCAAAGAATCCTAAAGAGAGATAAAGGTGTTTTTTCTCTTCTTCTCCCCCTTTTCTTCTTTCTCTGTCTTTTTCTCTTTTCTGAAGAAAGAGAAACGGAGCCGACGACAGAACGGAAGCGCCGTTCCCTTCGGCACGGCGGTGTCGTCGCTCCTGCGTCGACGGACGACGACGACGACGACGACGACGACGAGGAGAGAACCGGAGGAGGGTTGGCTGGTCGGGTAGCTGGCTGGGATCGAACTAGATGGCTCGTCGCCAGGCAACCGGATTTTCCCTCTCGGTCTCTCGCGCGCGCCACTGCGCTCTCTTCCCCTCCCCCTGCACTCGCCCTCTCCTTCCTGCTGGTTCGCTCCGTTTAGCTCGCTCGCACGCTCGCGCTTCTCGCTCTTTCTCGTTCTCTACTTCGCTCTGCTCCGCGACGCGTCGCGGACTCTCCTCCACCCTCCCGCGCACACTATGTGCTCGTTCGCTCGTCCGCTCTCCCTCTCCTGCCCTACACACACAACGCGCGTATACACACATCGTCAAGCGCACCGGTTCCTACGTTGCCTCCCTCTCGCTCACCCTCCGCGTGCCGAAGGATGCGGCGAAGGATCCTCCTCTTGAGAGAGATCCTTCTTTGCCGCGAACGTTGCACGAATGTCGCGAAGGAAACGCACATGCCTCGTGTGTCTCAACAATTGTCAGTTCCTGCACTTTTTTTCAACAACACCAAACTGTTTTTCACTCCGAAACTCCCGTTTCACATAGCAATATAGTTTTGTCTACACACAACTATATTAGAAACTCACTGTTTCATTTATATTTCTCTCGAGAAATTTGTGAAATTCCGATACGGTGAGAATTTCTCCGATTTGCGTACGGAGAGAACCTTTCGCGTGGCTTGTCACAACGCGAAATAACACGCAGAAGCTCCCGATTCTTCTCGCTCGTCAGCTTCTCTACTCGTCGCGATTTCTTTGCGACGCGATAAATATTTGTCTTGTGATAAAACCGATAAGATACGTCGCGTATGCACACTTCAATTATATCACAGCGGCGTCTGTTGCCAAACAGTCTAGCTTCGAAATTGTCACTTAACACGATGAATCTCAGCAAAAACTATCGCGACAATCGTTTAATGCAATCTCCTTCATTTTCTTTTTCAAAACTCTCGAATCGAATTAAGACGTGCAATAACTGACCTAATCTTTTTAATCCCAACCGTGTGTTTGTTTTCATGATAAACTTTCTGTTCGAGAGAATCGCAAAATTTCTCGGCCGATCCTTTCCGTAGGCGCTAATTGCTCTTTCATGTTGTGCCGATCACACGCTGCCAGTGAGGTGGCCGGTCACGGAGAAATCGCTTGCAATTCGCGCTTCTCAACATCGACCGGCTGACCGGCACTTTCTACGTTCCACTTGGAGACGCCGGTTTTGGGCGGAAAAAACATCGGAATCGAGGGAAACCGAGAGAGAAACTCTCTCGACAATGAAGCACGCAGCAGTTCGCGAACTGCTGTCCAGGTGCGTGATGAGATGAATTCTCTTCGCCGATCGTTCGTCATCAGCGGCGGAGAGCAAACGGGGAATGGGGGACTGAAAGATCCGCGCGTGAAAGAGAGAGAGAGAGAGAGAGAGAGAGTAGAGAATGGTGTGGTGAAGTTTATTATGTGCTATGGGAAATATGCCCTAGGAATAACTAGCAATTGAGTGAAAGGAAGTAATTTAACCCCGGTACAACAATGCGGGCAATAATCGCACACAATGACCAGGAAATAAAACTATATAATAATATGGGGAAAACAATGATATCAGAAAAAATAAATCTATAATTTGGTATTTCTGGTTGAGTAATTAAAACGAGAGAAAAAAAGAACGACAGAAAGAGGAAAAGAGAGACTACAATATCCGTGTAACTTACATAATTCTAATAATAAACAAATATAATATATATAGTACATTATATTTGTTTAAAACAATGGAAAATTTTTCTCCGCTTTTCTTAAAAAAAAAAAAACCTATTTTCTTCAAGTAATGAAGTCAATTGAGAAATACGTCAAAAGTAGCAAATATCAGTTTAACAAAAGCAGCAAAGAGAAATAATTAAGCAAACAAATATTATATGAACAAAAAATAAATTTTCGGCAGATGTTCCGTGAGTACACACAGGCATCTGTGTATTTAGCAGCGAAATTGGGAGGAGAAGAAAGAAAGGGAGATAGTGAGAGAGATAGCAAAGGTGAAGACAAAGATAACCCTGAAGAGAGAGAGAGAGAGAGATAGCTAAAGGAATCAATGGGTGCTACTCCATGACCTCGCGTTTCTCTCTCACTCTCTCCTCTTCCCGCTCTCTCTCCGTCTCTCTCTCGCTTCTCTGTCCTTTTTCCTCTCTCATTCACGCTGCGCTCCCTACCCCGCCCGCCGCCCTATATCGAGTATCCCAACCCCTCGAAGCGTGACCGTGACTGTGACTCTCGAAGCGGCCCGTGAGAGAGCGAAGTGCGCGTGTCCGCGCTGCATCGACGTAACGCGATTCGCAGCGCGGTGTGCAGAGCGCATCCACCGTGAAGAGCTCATATATAAAGTCCGAATGAATGAAAAACGCGTGCGATGTTCTCCTGCGGAAAATGAAAATTATCAGCACTTTTCACGTCACACAGGTTCTTTTTGCTGCTGAAAAACAAAAAAAAGTCTCGATCTTTCATCAAAGGCCTCACCATTCGATCGAAGTGTTTGATAAAAAGTGTTCGACTATTATTGAGGGATCGTCGCTGTTGTAAAATGTCAAAAAGTCAATATTTAAAATTCTTTTATCTATGTACTACATTACGGTTGTAGCAGTCTTTTTCTAAGAGTTTTACAACTTTTGTACACACACAAAAAATAGCTTGTTGTCTGATGTCGGTACAAGATCAAAAAGAACTGTTCTTCTAATCCAGAATAAAATAAAGTTGATGACGACGATAGGGTTTTGCAATTTATTCTCGTCTCTCCTCTCACGAATCCACGGATCGTTAATTGCTTCTTGCGTCATATCACGCGTCGATATAGAACCTGGCTAATCCTTCGGCTTGGTCAACAACAAGTGTTCGAGGCCTTTCATCGGCCACTTCAGCGACACTCGGGTTCGCCTTACCTCGGATGTGCTTTAATACCGAGCGCGCTGCTCTTCATCCTCGCATCCACCCGGCAGACAGTCTCTCGACTTTGACCCTTAATTGCGTCGTGTGAAGGGCCCGAGAGAGAGCAAACCCCAGGGTCTTTTTAAACTATCGAGTTCATCCAGCCAGATTGCATTTATATTGCACTGATTACGTTACGTCTCGCACAGACGTTTCTACGAATGCAAATCACAACGCCGACATCGACAATGACTTCGCCGTACATACAACTGTCAACCACAGAGATATATATTTCAAGAGAATAAGGAAAAAATATAAAATAAAAAGCGAAACAAAAATAACGCCTGTAAACTAATTTCCACTTCAAATCCGACTTATTTCTCGATCGCGTTTACTCCGCTCGTTATCACGCGCGCGCCCACAGATATGCGTATACCGATACCAGTTCCGTTTAGTAACCTTGAACGCGATTGTGAGATAAGACACAGAACAATGATCTAAAATTGCGGTGGTATTTTGGTATCGTGATTAAATCTCCGTTAGAGCGCGAACGCGTTTAAACTTCAATGCGCGTCATGTCATTCGCGGCTGTAAATTTGTCCTCAAGGTAATAGTAGCGGTGGTAGTAATAGTAGCAGTCGCGGCAGCAGCAGCAGCCTTTGTTACCCACGTCGATCTACCCACGTGTGAGTTCGTGCGGCGCCAAACGGCTATTTCCGACGCAGATTTCCGGACCGATTTTAGGCTTCGTGGCTCACACCCACGTTGGCGAACACCCGGGAAAACGGAAGCCGCGTTGCACTCTCTCGCAACCAAGAGAGTTCTTCACTACTCTAGGTAGGCCTTGCTGACCACCCCCGTTCACGTGACTAAACATCATCTCTCTCACAGGAAGCCACTTCCCGGGAATATCGAATGACAAAGCGCGCTTGCCTTTACCCACGCCCAGTCAAGCGCTCTCAAAGTATCAACTGCGACATAACTCTAGTCCTCGGCAACGCTCTATTCTACACGCCGTCGTCCCGATTTATCCTTCAATTCTCTGCAGTAAGCTTGCTACGTGCAAATTGGGCCATTTTTTTTTTTTTTTTTTTTTTGACTTGAAGAACGCGCTAATTCTTTTCGTGCTAATTACGCAGTAAAGATAATTTTGATCTTCGAGTTGTAAACATTCGGATGAAAGCAAATCGTCATTTTTCCGCGAGTGAGACGTTACTGTGGAAAAACGATGGTTATATATTCCCGTGGATTAAGATCTAAAACGATTTCTATAAATTCGCGAAAAAATTTATATTTTCACGAATAAGTTTTCAAAAGCCGGAAAGTTTATCGCGACGATAAATTTGCCGGCAACTTGCGCGCGTCTGTGCAGTCGCGCCGGTGTGTATGAAAAAGTTGGCGATTCTCACGCGGCGCCTAATATCGACGACCTTTCGCGGGATTCACTTTGCCAAAGTACTTAGACCGCCAGGCAAAACTTTCCTGTTGGCGTAATTGCTTTAGTTTGGACAAGTTGTCGGCGCGGTATCGTTGCAAACTCGCGAGAACGAAGCTTTATCCACTCTCTCATTATAGATCTCTTCGCGAATACAGAGTCCGATCGCTCGAGCGAAAAAAATCGCGGACTTTTTGAAAAGTCATACTTAAAGACGTCACCGACGAGATCTCGCAATCTCCGATCTCTCGTGATTCTGTTCCACGACAGTGTCCGACGACTGTGTGACGCGGTCCTCTTTCAACTCTGCACTTTCGCCTTGAAATGTCGCAACAGTCGCGCTCGTTACATTTACGCTGCAATCTTTTTCGAAAAGTGACATTCGGTGAAATTTACGACAAAATTCTGGAAAATTATTGGGTTGCACATCTCCGTCGAAATAAATCGCGCGGTGACTTTGTAAATTATAAACGAGTTTTCATTGCAACATTTTTATATAATTAGAAAAAAAAGATAAAAAGCCAATTCGAGCCCTCGATCGTGTACAAAAAGTAGTTAGCGTATTTAAATGTAAATTTTTATTTAGAGTTTTTATGATTAATGCGAAAAC